TGGCAAGAGGCGCAGACCTCGCGGTAGACCTGGAAACCACGGCGGAGACTGCAATTGTGTGAGCGTCATTTACCAGGTAGCGTGGGGGGATTGCTTACGCCTGGTGGTCGAAGGTCTTGAACCATTGCTCGTGAACCCAAGGGTAGTTGGTAGGGTGCAGACTGGTATCGAATGTCAGCTCGACATGCGTTTGTTTCGGTGCCTCCGGTGCATTTGTAGATTATGCCTCAACCCAGCAAGGGATCTCGGAATCCGAACAAATTGGCCCGCAGCAACCTTTCTCGGATGGGGAGAACTCACCCCTCCTCAGCGGGCGTCGCAGCGTTCGCCGAAGGTCCGTAGAGGTGGCAGTACCAGGCCATAGAGCCCAGGGCGAGAGACGTCGACGCAACGGCGGAGATGTTCAATCGGGAGTGGGAAGCTTCGGCACCAGCGCCGGTGGAAGTGGACGCCGCACGCTGCGTGGATCACTGTCAGTGTTCGGTCCCCAAGTCATTGATATCTCTCGATGGCCACTGAGGCGGTTCCGGGGGTGTCGTGTGGCGGTAGGTCGGATTGCCTCGGGAAATTGGCTTCTTGATCAGCTCATGTGCGTACCTTGGAAATGGTGACGGCGCCATTTGTGAAGGTGCGCGCCGAGCGCAAGCAGGACCTTGCCAACATGATGGGCGAGCTGTATCCGCAGCTACAGAGACAGCCGCGAACAAAATGATGGGGCAATGGGTGGTAGGTCCTCTCGTGACGGAGGTCGTTTCTACGGTACAGTGGTCGAGGCAGGAGAAAATCGCTGTGAGGCAGTTTTCGAGTGCCTTAGGTATGGGACGTCTCTGATTGGCTAATGGCTTCGGTCAGCAACATATTCCGGTCCGGTCGTTTTTCGCTTGATTCCTCCCACCCGGTGTTGCCCGTCGACCAGAAGTATTTCCGATCGCCCGTCGCACCCAGCGCCGTCGTGTCGTCATGCACCGACCTGAGAAATATGCCTCGCTTGATTGGCCTGGACCCATGCAGCCAGCAAACTTGACCTGCATCACGATACAACATTGGACGAACATTCTTTCCTTTTTGACGATCACTGTAAGTATGCAAAAGACAGAAACCAGCAGCGTTTCGCGTTTTTGGCTGTTCCATGGCCAATTTCGATTTACCACTTAGCACACGCAATATTCTCTTGAAGGGTGCGACAAACATCTCACGACAACGCAATTGACGACAGTAATCGGGTATCAATGGCCGTTTTTAATTTTTTTTCAGAAAACACGCAACTTTTATCTGAGCCCGCAGGCTTGTGTAGCTTACACCTACGTTGATGGCAGGCAAGCTGATGGTATTATGCACAATTCCCTTTCCCGATCCAAACTCAATGCTCCGAAATCAATAGCTTTCCACTCTCAGGCGTGGCCATTTCTGCTGAGGATTTCGCGGCGTTGCTTTACTGCGCTGGCGAGCTCATCCAGAACTGAGACGGTATCGTCCCAGTGGATGCACGCGTCGGTGATGCTGACACCGTACTTCAAAGCACTGGGGCCCTCCTTGGGAACCTTCTGGTTGCCTGCAACTTATTAGCTTATGCTTCCATCATTCTCAGCGCCACGACAAGTACTAACCCTCGTTGATGTTGCTCTCAATCATGACACCCATTACGGCGGTCTCGCCCTTGGAGATTTGGGCCGCGAGCTCGCTGGCGACCTTGGGCTGGTTCTTGTGGTTCTTCAAAGAGTTGCCGTGACTGCAGTCGACCATGAGCCTCTGGGGCAGGCCAGCCTTCTCCAGCGCCGCCTTGGCCTCGGCGATGCTCTTGGCGTCGTAGTTGGTACCCTTGGTCCCGCCTCTCAGGATAACGAAGCAGTCCTCATTGCCTACTGTGCCGACAATAGCGACGACACCGGGCTTGGTAACAGAGAGGAAGTGATGGGGATGTCTGACGGCGCCAATGGCGTCGATTGCGACTCCGAGCGAGCCATCGGTACCGTTCTTGAAGCCGACGGGGAAACTGAGACCGCTGGCCAACTCGCGGTGCAGCTGGCTCTCCGTGGTTCTCGCGCCGACGGCCCCAACGGACAGCAAATCAGCGAGGAACTGGGGCGAAATAGTATCCAGCATCTCGCTAGCAATGGGCATACCCTTGTCCGTAAGATCGACGAAGAGCTGTCTTGATAGGCGGAGACCCTTGTTGATCTTGAAGCTGTTGTCGATATCGGGGTCATTAATCAGACCCTTCCATCCAACAGTTGTGCGCGGCTTCTCCAAGTAGGAGCGCATCACAATGAGCAGCTCATCCTTGTGCTTCTCCTTCGCGGCGAGAAGAAGGTCGCAGTACTCGAGAGCGGCCTTGGGGTCGTGGATCGAGCAAGGGCCAATGATGACCAGAAGTCTACCCTTCTCGTCGGTGCCATTGACTACGGCTGCAGCCTCCTCACGGCCCTCGATAACGGTTTGCTTCGACTTGGGAGTTTGGGCAATCTCGTGCTGGAGCAGGTCGGGAGGAGTCAGCGGGTTGTAACCGCGAACTAGGAAGCCAATTAGCCTTGAAAGTTATTTTGAGGTTGCCGATTGAAAACATACTTCTCCAGTCTTCACTCTCGGCCTTGTTGCCAACGTTCTTGTTCTCGATGTAGAAGCTCTATGGTGGAAGGTGAGTCAGAGGTAGGCGCAGACAGGGTGTCGAGGGGCGCTGACTTACAGACATGGTGAATGCGGGGAAGGAAAGCAACAAATACGCTCGAGTGAAATGGTAAACTTGGGTGAAGCCGAGTCTGCAACAAAAGTCTCTGGAGGTAGACAAGTGAAAAGGAAGAAAATAAACTTTTCTCTCTGCTTGGAGGTTGTGTCGAGAAGAGAGTCACAAGAGCGCAAAGGTCGGAACTTCGAAGAATATCAGCAATGAGCGAAGACTCATTCGTTCCCCCCCTGCCCTGTGCCTGTACCTGTCGCCCCGTCGCCCACACTTGCGACCCCCCGGCCGGCAGTACCCCGCCGAGGACCGCTCGAAAAAAAAAAAAAAAAAAAAAAAAGTTGGTCGACATGCAACTTGCCACCAGTGAGGGGCATCCTTGCTGTGCTTTTTTCGCCGTCTTTAGCTGTGACGTGCCACTGTGGGACTGTCCGACTGCGCTGAGCATTAGACATAGCGCCACACACTGGGTCTCACCGCCTGGAGGACATCCCCAAGAGCGCCGGACACCGGGCCTTTGCAGGCGATGCGAGGCCTGGAGGGGACGGCAGTCGGGTGAGCAACAACATTGTGTGCCTTTGCAGGTGACAGTGCAGGACAACTTGGGATGGCGACACACCTTCAATTCATCCCATGCGTCTGACCTATCGGGGAGGAATACTAAAAGCACATGTCGTTTCATTCTCAATCTAACTCTAGCGGCACATTCTACTAGTAACATCTCAAGTCTACCCTTGCCGACCTCGCTGGCATTTTCGTTCAATCATAGAAGCAGGGACAACGTCTGCGTTACCCGTTACTAGACCAACGCAAGCACCAACACCCCGCCTACAAAGTCTTCTTAAGGGGCTTGTAAGCCTCCTTCTCCATACGTTCAACGCCATTGAATCGCCCGTAAACGAACTTGAGAAAACTCGTGCTCAATGTCATCAACACGGCCGAGAAGGTGAACAACCCTACTCTCTGTGCCGTATTCAAGACTGCGAAGATTGGGTACGGGTAGCTGGGACACGTTAGCCTCCTAAGTCTTCAATTCGGACATCTCCGTGCTTACGCTCCGTTCTTGCTGAAGCACAACTCAACCCAGCCCCAGTACAAGAAAGCAAACACCATGCTAATAGTCATGGCTGAGTACGCGCGGATAGTCCATGGAGGGCTGAACAGGATCAAGTCGAGGGTCAGGACCACTGCCGGCACAAGGTGAAAGCCGACATCTGGAAGCCAGTGAAGCTCGAAACCCTCGGGAATCAAAAGACGCTCGTCGATTGAACGAATTCCCCAGTACAAGATGCTGATGAGGACTTCGAGGGGAGCGGCCGTAGTCGAGAGAGCGTTTTTGACGGCGAACAATTGAGGGATCAGAGTAATGTCGGCTAGCAGACCAATCCCAAAGGTGGTTGCAGACAAAATCAAGCCGATGTTTGTGAGATGCTGATAGTTGCCTCCAAAGCCCATGGAGATCTCGTGCGTGAGAGTGCTCAAGAACTGGAACGAAGCGAAGAAGGAGCAAAGGCCGGCAACATGAAGCAAAAACGACAGTGTTCTCGACGGGGACTCAAGCCGCTGCAATCGGTGACGAGCCATCTTGGTGAGCTGGCAATTGGTGTTGATCTCGCGCGATTCGTGTTTGTTATGGTCTAAGTTGTTGGGTGAAGGGATGACAGGTCCAAGGCCACGATGGCGGGTCTTCTAAGAGATGAATGTAGAGGGATGGCGGCGGGCGCAAGGGAGGATCACGTCCGAGCCACTGGTTTTTGTAGGTATTTGAGACGAACCTTGTTAAGAGGAGAAGATTATCGAAGACATAATGTTCGAATCCTTTTTAGACATTGTCCCGACGGAGCGTTTTGGGGCCAATCAAGGGACAATGGGAGGCATCGTCAAAGTGACGGGGCCGCGGCATGTTACAACTTCCCGGCGCCTTCGGCAGGCTGGGCTTCGTCATGAGGTCACTGATGGAGCAGAGTCCGCCAGAGTGGCCCCTGATCTGAAGTCCCAGGCAGATCCACGCAGGCTGGGTCCCCCGAAGAGCCACCCTTGAAAGCCCAATCGGCATGTGCTCCAGGGGCAGCCAGGGCGGGCTAAGCTTCTTGTGGAGCCGGACAGAGTAACGGCGTCGAGGAAGCAACAAGGCTGCACTAGCTCACGCCAACGACAAGTCTGATTGGGCGCAAGGAAAGCTTCCCAAAAACCATCACCTAAGCTTCGTGCACTTACTCTTCAGCCTTACATCTTTTGAATCAGGAGCTCGGGACCCCGTCAGGCTACTTTCAGACGGCAGCTTTTCTCAGACATTGATTGACCGAACTACACATCCACCGACACAATGGCTGACGAAGACTCCAAGTCAATCAAACGAACACACGAGGACTTCACGGGACAAGATGATGGTACGTGAAAATGTTGCGCGACGATGGGCTTCGGTACTGACAATGTTTCGTCAGACAGCTCCTCCGACGATGATATGGGTCCTCAGCTTCCCAGTGAGGCTCCGAAGAAGAAGCGCCGAGTCCTCCCATACGAAAAGCTTTACATCGCCGCCCTACCCAAGTCCTCTCGATACTCGAAGTCCCTGATGCACAAGGAGCAGCTATCCTTCGTGACCGTTACGCCCTTGACCGACTTTATCATAACTTCCTCGACCGACGGGGTTGTAAAGTTCTGGAAAAAGGTGGCAGAGGGCATTGAGTTCGTCAAGGAGTTCAAGGCACACAATGGCGAGATTAAATCAGTCTCAGTCAGCCAGGATGGAAGAAGCTTCGCGACAGCTGGAGAGGACGAGACCATCAAGATCTTTGATGTTATCACTTTCGATCTGTTAGCCATGTTGAAGCTCGCTTTTGTGCCTCGGTGCATCTGCTGGGTCCATAACAGGGGCGCTTCGCTACCGCTGCTCGCTGTCTCCGAGGACGCGAATTTAAACGTCCACATTTTCGACGGGAGGGGAGAAAGACAGGATCCCATTCACACGATCAAGTCGCTTCACAGAAGCCCTGTGTCGATAATGGCCTTCAACAGCGTCTACGACTGTGTGGTCTCGGCCGACGACAAGGGTATGTTGGAGTATTGGCGGCCAAGTGGGGACTACGAGAAGCCCGACAACGTCTTCGAGTTCAAGGCCTCTACGAATCTCTTCGAATTCAAGAAGGCAAAGTCAGTTCCCACGTCAATCACCATCTCACCGACGGGCAAACATTTCGCAACCTTCTCCCAACCCGACAGAAAAATCCGCATATTTGACTTCGCGTCGGGCAAACTTTACAGGACTTACGACGAGTCCCTGCAAGTCATTGAGGAGATGCAGCAAGCTGGATCTGGACTTCAGAAGCTGGATCCTGTTGAGTTCGGGCGCCGATTTGCGGTGGAGCGCGAGATTGACTCCCCAGCATACAAGCACAAGGCCAATGTTATTTTCGACGAATCTGGCAACTTCATCCTCTACGGCTCCATTGTTGGCGTCAAGGTGCTCAACACTTATACTAACCAAGTAGTCAAGGTATACGGCAAAGAAGAAAATTTCAGAGCCGTCAACTTGGCGATATACCAAGGTCAACCTCAGAAGAAGGGCATTACCACTGTAGAAATGGGTGCCTCGAGCAACCCCCTACTTCAGGAGTCAGAGTCGCGAGATCCGATTCTGATTGCCACAGGCGTGAACAAAGTGCGGTTTTACATGTTCACCAATGACGAGGACATATCCAAGTCGGTCAGAGATGTGCAGAACGAGAAGCCAACTATGCTTGGACAGAAGAAGGCTGCCGAGGCTAAGAAGGCAGAGACTGGAACCGCAGCGGTGATCCACACGACATACGGCGACATCCATATTCGCCTCTTCCCTGACGCGGCACCGAAAACCGTCGAGAACTTCGTCACTCACTCGAAGAAGGGATACTACAATAACACCATCTTCCACCGTGTTATTCGAAAATTCATGATCCAGTGTGGTGACCCCCTGGGCGATGGTACCGGCGGCGAGAGTATTTGGGGCAAAGAGTTCGAAGATGAATTCAGCAGCTTGAAGCACGACAAGCCATACACTGTCAGCATGGCTAATGCAGGCCCAAACACCAATGGCAGTCAGTTCTTTATCACCACAGAAAAGACGGTGAGTGGCGGCCCAGCCCCCTTAGATGTGCTTTCGCTAACGTGTGGGTGTGATGAAGCCTTGGCTGGATGGCAAGCATACAATCTTTGGACGTGCCACACAGGGTCTGGACGTCATTCACAAAATCGAGAACGTCCGGACGTATAAGGAAAAGCCTGAGGAGGACATCAAGATCCTGAACATCGACATCGTGTAGCCGGTAGAGCGGCAAAACAGCAAAGAGCCGCCAGACGGCAACTAATGAGACGAGAGCCCAATGATCCCGCACGCCCCCACGTAAGGGCTGAGTGAAAAAGCAATGCGACGATGCAGCATCCCCGCAAGTCCGATGAGGCGGCGGCTAGTCAAATGAGCTTCACGATGCAGCCGCATGCCGATTCAAGTCCACCCAACTGAGTGAGGCTGTTGCTGCTCACGTGGACGAAAGAGGCCAGCATTGGGCCGCTTACAATCCCGCAATCGGCGCTGCATCACCGCAACCCAATTCGGGCCTGATTTCGTCGGCCAATGACTTTACTTAAGGATGGGGTCGGGACGCAATGCTTCTGTTCTTTCGATTTCGCTGTCGCATGAAACTGACGTTGTTTTCAAAAACTCTCATCAATCCCAGTCCGTGGATATCGTGAAAAGTGAAGTCGGCTCACAATTCCACTGCAAGCAAGTTTGCGTAGACACTTGCACCGCATCGCGTACCTGCGCTGCATATCTGCGTATCATACCTACCGAACCAATCATTCTCCCTCGACCCCGCCCTTTTGTCCCAGCTCGTCCAGACGGCGCCTTGAGACTGGGCATGAACCTCGGGTTGTAGCATGCCGCGCCCAAAGAAGCCGGGGGCTCCAGAACCGAAAAGGCGAAGTCGAAATGGATGTTGGTGAGTTCCGTGGAGGAGTGCAAGAACCTCCTTCAGGGCCCCATTTTCTTGTTGTGTCATGCCACTCACTCAGGTACAGGCCATGCAAAGGTCGCAAGGTAAAGTGCGGTGAGGAGCATCCAACATGTCTCAAGTAAGTTCGCATTTCTTTCGTCGAACACGCCTCCCGAAGACAGACTTCCTTGATCGGACCAACAGCACTGGCTGGAGAGAGGTTTGATCGTTTTGCGCCTAGCATAGTTCGAAATATCTCATTCCACCCTGATGGCGAAATTTCTAGTGGAAGCAGGATGCTGCAAATTTTGGGCAGACTCTATTAACGGCGTCCATGAACATGGAATCGAATCATTGTTTCTCCCGATCTTTGAGACTTTCTCTTCATTCAAACACCAGATACTTAACACAAAACTTTAAGCAAGATTCGACTAACAAACAGCAACTAGTTGTCAAAGGACAGGAGAGGTCTGTGATTATAGCGTCCGATTAAATTGGGAAGGTCGTCGGACGAAAAGGTCTTCATCGTTTGGGACCCCAAATCAGACCAGTCAGCCATTGCAGGAGGCCACGGCTTCACAGATCCAACCACCATCGTTCACCCACACATTCTCCGTCAATGCCACATCCACCAATATACAACCAAAGCCGATAGTACAACGCATACAGACGGCTTCGGGTAGTATTGAGCCCACGAGGAGGAAACAAGAACCCACGGATATGCGTGTCTTTGGTATCAACGAAGCCGGAACGAGCTCCTTTTATTCCACACCACCGCAAGAAATCCAAGCGAGTGTCCCGTCGCCTATCATTCCCAAACATGTCGTTGACAGTTTTGCCTCTCTCCGTCGCAGTTCATCTGGGACTGTAAGCCCGTCATCACAGCGGCCCCACAAACGATCCAAATCGTTCGCCGAATCAAGTGACTCTGAGTTCCATCGCCAACCTAGCCTGCTAGCTTCTCCGGCATCACTTGTTGGAGCGAGTCCTCCAATATGTCGGATGCGTTCTAATACTGGGTCCAAAGTTCGGGCATTGCCTTTAACGCCAGTGTCCTCAGGAATGAATCCCGACGATGACGCAGCAACTCCATTGCTTACCCTTCCGTCACCAGCGTCCCCTGACAACAGCAGATTATCGGTAGACTACCTATTATCGGGGTCCCCGGACTTAGCTCATCGACCAAAGAAGCACGCTCAATACAACTTCGGACCACCTCTGCCAGACCTACGGCCTAAAGAGGACGTATTGGAAGATGCCATCTTCTATGGCTATGACCTCGGGTTTCGAGACGCCGATATAAATCAAAACAACGATTTAGGCGCTATCTCCAAGACAACCTCGAACGGTGAGAGTTCTATGACTGTCATGGGTGGTGGACATGGTGGCTTCCCACCTCTTCAACCCAGTGGCATTGGTTTGCAGACCAGTGTCCTACCTCGAATGACAGGGGGCTACTATGACAGGCCCATCTTGATTCGAATTCCTCGAAATCTCGAGCCCCTCCCTTTGAAGTAAGTAGCAAGCCGCGAGCCTTTTGGCGATTCTAACACTTGGTAGGCTTCGAGACAACCCGATGAATCTCTTGGTAAGTCAATCCGTGGTCTGCGTGGCACCACGTTTGTTGAATAAACCTGCTAACTGAAATCAGTATTTTGTTCGTGATCTCAAATCTCGTCTCTGGAGGCTCAAATTGACTTTTATACAAAGCATCATTTTCTTAATCACACAGCCAAGAGTAAGATTTCTGCTCGGTGAATCAAGCACGGCGCTTACACATAAAGTTCTTGTTCCCTACGATGACCCAAGCTCCAATCCATTCCGCACAGTCCTACCGCAAATGGCCACTCGAAACGATCACCTCTTGAGTTTGCTTTTGGCATATTCAGGCAAGCAACATGTTCATGCTCTGGGGACATTCCAAACTAATCCCTCAGTAGCGTCCCACCGGGCCAAGCTTCTTCGTCAAAGGGAACCCGAGATGAGAATCGCCCTTTGGGTCCAAGATATTTTCCCCGTCCTCCGCCTCGCGTTGGGTGACAGGGAACAAATCATCTCCAACACAAGCCTCGCAACCGCTATCATGCTTGCGTCTCTGGAGATCATATCCCCCACGGCATTCGGCTACGAAATTCCTTGGCAGACGCACTTGAACCTTGCTCGCGATCTCATGCGAAGACGTCTGGCCGATCTTCGAAGAACCTCTTACAGTCTTGAAGAGGACCGCGTCTGTTCCTTCTTATGGAGCTGGTTAGCCTACCTAGACGTCTTGGGAAGTCTCAGCGGCGGTACGGGTTCCGACCCATCTAGGTCATGGGTACTCGAGTACACAATGTACAACAATGCCGACGACCAGTATGAAATCGACTGTATCATGGGATTCACTACGAAATGCGTTCAGTTGCTTGCACAAGTATCAGAACTTGCCCGTCATTGCGATATGCAGCACATCAGATCCGATGGCCAAGCACGACCGGAATGGATCCCAGACACTGACTGCGTCCGCCGTGCCCAGCAGCTTGAGCGAGAGTTGATGGAAAGCATGACGCAGCCGTCGCATCCTTGCAAACATGTGCAGAATGTCGAGGCTAGGGATAGGCAGGAAATGGTGCTGATGAACGAGGCCTTTCACTGGGCCGGGCTGGTCCACATACACCGGCGTGTGTTCGGCAAGTCGTCAGGCCACGCGGACGTCCAAGGACCTGTGCAGAGAATCTTCTCTTGCATGGAGTACGTCAGGGCCGGAGGCACCGCGGAGACGGGGTTTCTGTTTCCAATGTTCACCGCTGGGTGTAACACGCTTGACGAGGATCAGAGGTCGAGGATTCTTGAGAGGTTTAGGAGTGTGGAGGGCAACGGAATGACACAGGTGCGACGCCGTCCTCCACTTGCGTTCTACTTATTGAAAGCTAATGTCTCGGTATAGGTCCACAAGGCGAGACGACTGATGGAGAGAGTCTGGATGACAGGACAGCCATGGGAACCACTCTTGTGTACGGAGTTTATTGGCTGATTGATGAGTTCAGTTGTTGGTCTTTCTATCTTGTATGTTGCTGTCGGCTCTGTTGTCAAAGGGATTTTTCGATTGTCCAGGTCGAGGAGCATTGTAGGAGCATGGATGGGTCCTTAACGACCTAATTGAATCATGATACTAGCATACACGGCTTGGGAGGGTATAAGAGATTAGGCAGGAGTATTGGAGATGCTTGATGAATTATGAAGAAACATCTTGGTTTTGCTGCAATTTGCGTTTGCTATAGTATTTTGTTGAAGAGCAGCTCCCCATAGAGGCTGAGTTGTTAATCTTTCTTCCCTTCTAGTTATATGTGTCTGGGATTGGACTGACGCCTCGTAGACACTAGAAAATAACGAGAATTGAAGGGGCGTCCAAAAGCAAGAAAAAGTCTAGGCACATAAAAGTCTAAGAGAGAGAAACAAAAGGCGAAGAGGACGACTTCAATGAGCAAAGGAAAAAGTCCAAAAAATGAATGCTGGTCAATCGCGGACGGGAATTGAGCCCGACGTGGGGGTCGAACCCACAACCTTGAGATTAAGAGTCTCACGCTCTACCGATTGAGCTAGCCGGGCGATTGGAACCCAGCTGCTGTTGTTGAATTCGGCAAACGATGGAGACAATCATAGTGGAATTCCGTCGTCGGTGGTGGTGTCGTTGGTGGGAGAAGTGGAAAAGGGCAAGGGCACGGAGGAGCCGGTAAACTGGGGCCATCCTTCCCGGGACCTCGCCGGGGGACTCACTAGCAAGTAACCATGACTCAACTAGGTCGCCGCATCATTAAGAAGAGAACCAGAAATAGGAACAAGAAACGAGGAGTTAAAAGAGTTATACAAGGGTTGTAATTACTGCCTATTCGCTAACGTATGTCCAAAGAGCCAATCCTCATGACATGTGGACGAAATGAAATGGGCGTTTCCTATCTTCGTCTTGCCTTTCCCAACGCCTGAATGGTATATAGATCGACTCGTGTCGAATTGTAAGAAAAAGGAGACGTGTAAAAAAATCCAGCTCAGCTGATACAAAAGAAATATAAATAGTCTCCTTTTTTGGTGGCACGTCAATTTCATCCTCATCCGTCTCGTACATCATATCAATCTTTTTCCCCGTCTTATCTGGTGCCAAAGTTGAACTGGTGTGGTGGCGGGCTCTTTACGGGAGCATCCGCGTAGGCACCTGGGATAGGCACGGCCTCGTAGACGGGCTCATCGGCAGCCATTGGCGCGTGGCCCTGAGGCGACTCTGAACGCTGTTGCTGCACTGGAGGGAAGTTCGGCTCGGGGCCGGTGGCAGAGGTCGGCGTGAAACCGGTCGC